GAATATTGACTCCAGCAATTAAACGATCACGTAGTTGAGTATGCAGCTGATCTTCAAAGTTGCACTTTAAAGCTTGTATCTGAAGCTGAAGAATAAAGTCTCTAATCTTCTCGCTGGGAGCACGAACCAGTTTGTTGAACTGAGCCCCCTCTCGCGTTGCACTTCAAATCTTAGGGTAGAAGTTAGTCTCTGTAGTATTAATGCATTACAGGGCAAGTGTATTCAAAATTACTTCATTGTTGCTGCTTCTACACTTGTTCTAGCATCCCTTGAAATGTCAACAGAATTATAAGTTATACTTGCCAAAATAAAGCGCATTATTAATCGGGTGTCTACATAACGTAATACTGCGACGTAATGCATTAAACCTTTGCATCTATTTCAGTTGAAGCGTTAATTCAACTATTATGACTAAGGGTGTTAACATAGAATTTCATGCGACCTTTGCAGTAGATGAATAATTGAGTAAATTCAGGACATCACTATTTCAGTGACACTACACTATGCCACCAACTACGTTTTCACTTCCTTTTAACAAGTCAATCCTTCATGTCGTCATGATAAGAAGTCCACTTCCACTGTAATAGAATAAAACAAATGTAATCATCAGGATCGAAATTATATTTCATGAAAAACAGTAACAAGTAATTCTCTGTACGCAACTATTAGTTATAATTATTTCGTCTGTATTGAACTGCTGTGACCAGCTTGAATGATTCTACTGGGCTTCTGAAATTAAAAGCATGAAGTGTACGATTGATTATGCCGCTATCCGACCATGCACATGGTCCAGGGTTCGATCTCCGGCCAACGCACACCTAACATTAATAGTCAGCCTGGTAAATTTGGGCCACCGATATCACATGTTGAAAATTCCATAGTTGTGTCAAAATACTTTGTGGAATCAAGCTACAATAAAGTTAAAATAAACACGTAAATAATAAAATAGAAGAAAGAAATGTAGAAGTCGTACAATTTTTTACTTCATTACATCCTCTCATAACGATTCATCCCTTTTCTCCTTCGGTAGTCATGACAGCATTTCTCTGTGATTTCAACTGTCATATATATTACAATCTTTGTCAAGCAAGCAGACGATGCTCTCACATGTGAGTGTCATTTTTAACTTTGGTAGATAGTTTACACATCGGAAAAGCAGTAATTATGAAGTCTTCAGTAGCACGTAGTTGTATAGAACCTAAGTATTTCCTTTGGATAATTTTCCTAACAAGCATTTGTAGCATCCCCATAACTTTGATAGAAAGTTTTTAAGCCGCATTCATTTTCATCACCTGTGCCTTAACGGATAACACCACCCATAACTACATATGCTTCCGCGTTTCAACATGAATTTCATGAAGTCTCTCCAGACTACATACTACTTGGGATGTGGCGAAAAAATATCAGTCGTAAGTGTAGCTTCCATATCTGTCTGTCTGTCTGGATTCAACATAGAACTTGGCACCGAAGTGCAGCAGTTCGAGTTGCCACGTTCCAAATAGCACACAGAGGTAGACAAGAAGATGAGTGAAGAGAATTAATAGAGTTCCATATCTATCGTAGACACAGGTCTGAAAGTGATATGACTTGCGTAACACTCGTACTAGCGGTAGGAGGGACCTTCAGGCTACTCTTCGACAGAAAGGCAGTACTAACTGTAAGCAGTGTGACATTTCCGAATAACTATGCATAGTATTCTTGTTATCCCAATGAACAGTAATGTCAAGATAAGTTGGTGCAACTGGATGCGGTAAGTAGTTACATTCTTCCAATATTCCATGCAAGAGTGAAAATTCCACTAGTATCAAACATTCAACTTAATATCTTTCACTACGAACTTCATCAGAATGAACATCATCACAGAAAAAGTTCAAGAATGGTGTCCCAAAGGATGCGAACGCACGAGCGACCTTCAGCCGACCGATCATAAAAATAAGTAACTTTTGCACACAAAATGATGTATATTTACAAGAAAATGCATGAAAACACATTAAACAGGGTATCTTTATCTAACATGACTTAAAAATACGTCCCAGTTATAATGAGGAGTATCAGTTGCCAAGCTAGACTAGTTTCTGTACATGTGTTCACCGAGGTAACTGAATATGAGTGTCTTTGTGAATTGTTTGTCTCTTGGTGCGCGCGGTTCTAGTTAGAGGATCGACGGTTACTCACCAGCAAAATGAGAATAATAAAATAAATTAAAATAATGACCATAAACTTAATACTAACCCTAATCACAACCCTTATCCTAACCGTAAACCTAATTCTAATGGTAATTGTGACACTAATACTAACCCTAGCCCTAATACTTACCTTAATTCTAATCGTAGCCCCAACGAGCTATTACCACTTTATCCCAACAGTACATAAGGATGTGATCTGAGCGAAATTTGCTGCTTAGTTGGTGAATAGCGTTTGTATTTCAGCCATCATAATGACAGGTGCCGTCAGTCAACGACTAGCATGCGTTCAAGGCCATTGGAGCTTTCGAAATCCTAGGAGGCTATTGCTGAACTTTGACACTCCTCAGAACAAATAGAAAACTGATGTCTGAAAAATAGTTCTTCCCAGTAATTTCGGTCCCGTGCATGAACAACTGCCGTAAGATTAACCGTTGTCAGTAGTCAACTTTTAGACCGGATAATCCCTAACAGTTCATAAATATAAAACTCTTGGCGAAGTTTAAGAATAGAGTCCCAAGAGATGCGAACGCACAATGACCTTGAGCCGACCAATCAGAAAATAGGAGGAATTTTGCATAAAATTTAACGTATTCGTATGGCGCCATACGAATTTTTACGAAAAGGTCTGCGCAGACCAGAATAGTCGTACTCCCGAACATTACACAAAAAAATCATTTCTTTCGAATGCATAAGCCTAAAGCCATCTAAATACAATCCATTTGCGGAAAACAGGGTCAAGTTCAGCTTTGCCAAAAGAAGACTCTTGGAGCGCCCCTAGGCATGAACACGATAGCACATAATGTGCGCGAAAATATAGGCAATGCAGATCGTATTTTCGTGTCCAATATCCAATATCCTGATTACGAGCTAGTATAAACCAGTGATTTCTTTGAGCTCGCTTCTTGATTGTGAGGTAGAGGTTCCAGATCTTCGGTGAGCTTCTGCGTAGTAAGTCCCGACACTCGACTGCTTTAGCTCTGGTAGACTCCAGGAGGAGTGGTGCGGGGATTGGTCGAGATGTGGTTTGTAGTATGCAGTATGTTAGGACTGTATTGCTGCCGTGAATGGAGTTTGACCTTACTCCCGTTGGTCATTCGGTGTAGTCATAAAAAGCAGAATAGTAGTAATAATTAGAAGAATAAAAATAATGGGTTGTAGTGTAGATAATATGGATTGAGATAAGTGGAATAATAAAGGTGACCTAAGGAAAAGATAGAGTGAGAGAAGGCAGAATAGGTCGTGGGGATTTAGTTTGTGCGCTTAACCATTGACAGTGTGGTTTCAAGTTTTATGAAGATAAGCCATTGAGACACAAACCTTGCATTTCTGCATGATTGTCTAGCTTCCGCTTAAAAATCTCCAGAGAAGGCGCTGTAGTCACGGCCGCCGGTAAAGCGTTCCAGAGACGGCAAACACGAAGCGAAAAGAAATGTGATCGCACTCGAGTCTTTGGTCTCTGGTGTGCTATCCTTAGCGGGTTACCTCGTGGAAGCCTATAGTCACTTAATGGCAGGATGCTTTTATTTGGGTGGGCCTGGTCATTTAGGATTTGGTAGACGGTGATGAGGTCTCCCCTGTGCCTTCGGTAACTAAGTGTGAAGAGACTTAATTTCTTTAGTCTTTCCTCATATGATTTGTTACGGAGGCCGATCACCCATTTTGTCGCTCGTCTCTGGACACTTTCTAGAATGTTAGCATCCCTTTTGAGTAGCGGAGGTGCAATGATATTATGCACCTCAAGGTGTGGCCTCACATATGCCTCATATAACCTTAAGAACAGTTCCGGAGTGAGAGCTCCCAGCTGCCTATGCATAAAGTGTAAGGTTGCGTATCCTTTGGCGACGTCCCTCGCGTAATTTCCACTGAGATAAACATGTGATTCACTCGCTTGTGACCGGCCGTTTGTCATTAGAGTTGCGATAATTCCGAACATTATTTAGCTTTTTGATGAAGTTCGCAATTCCCAGGAGCGTTTTATCGCGTCGGGCGCATAAGTGACAACATATACTACAGCTCAGGAGAGCAATAATATACCAGTGGATTTATTTTCTGAATCCAATGAATTTATCCCATACGAATATCTGTGGACTTGACAGGAGAGTCAAGGATGCATCCAGTGTTCCAAAGAGGTGATAACTTTGTGCAGCTTCAATTATCGCCTAACTATTATTTTCATATCCTTAAATTAGTGTTAAATACACAGCATGGTTAAGGCAGCATATAAGTAACTATATATACTGTGTTTCTCTCACAAAGATTAGAAATTAGGCATCAAACGTCACAGTAAGCAGTGTTATAAATGTAAGCTTCATGTTTCTAGTCGAAACACACTGGGTCTCCATTCATTTTCAGAAGTAATCTTGAGTTCAGTTGGAATAAACTAGTTGACCCTATCAGTGTTGAGATATTAAAGAGATGGAAATAAGTAAATACCTCTTTCATAAGATTAGGTGATACATTTAACTGATATGATTGTATTATTAGTGGTCGTCTATCTAGGTTAATGATGAATTCGTCGCGATAACAATACCTATTACTGTTTTATGGTCACTTTGAATATGAACGTTATTATTATTGATGTTAAGACTCTTATTATCTGTCATAAAGCCGTTGCCATTTATATTAAAATCTTTGTACAAGCTTTGGAAACCACTGCATAATTTATTATTATATAATTTTATCATTTCTTGATGCTTCGATGGATCTACTAGATATCGACCAACGATAAATTGCGAAGTCCTCAAAGTTCAGCGAAATTATTTGGCTACTTATATGTGTGTCGTTTGTAGGGTTGTAACAACAGAAGACAAGGGCTGGCAACAGATCGTTTTATTACGAAAATCAACACGTATTTATATATATTTTATGTACATTAATAAGGCTTATGCAAGCAGAAAAAGGCAGTCTTCTGATTGGTTGTTTCTCGGAAGTTAAGCAGACAAACACAGTCTTATGATTGGTTGTTTTCGATATTTCTCGGAAAGTAGAGCCATCTATCTGCGAATCATATTTGTCCACGTTTAAGTTTGCTGTGATTGGTTGTTGAAACAGCCTTGTTCATATTTTCTCACGGCCCATATTAGTGACCTAGACATTAACGTAGATTAGTGTCAACCAATCGGCTAGCAGCCTGCTCTCACCACACTCGTCCCCCCGTCAAATAGCTTCGTGCGCAGACGTTCCGACCTTCTGGGTGCTACATCCTCTAGTTGAGGATTGTTACTGACCGGCTTGTCCCACTGTACCCATCTTTGGAGCTGACTGGCGTTAACTCGTTTCTGTTTATCACCTCTTCGGATGGTATATACTTGACCCCGTCTTTTTGTGATTGTGTACGGTCCTTCCCACTTTGGAAGGAGTTTCCGTGAACCTGGCCCGCATCCAACTGTATATCTTTTGTCTCTACACTTCACTTGGTCCCCGACTGCAAAGGTATTGCACTGAGTCTTTCCTTTCAGCTGAGACTTCGCGACATCACTCCGCTGCTTCTTCATTACATTCTTGACTGCCTCTTTCCGCTCTGCTTTTAATTTCGTCGTACTCCATTTTTGGTGAAGGGGCCAGGTCTCATTGTGTACCGGTAATCGTGGTTTTCTACCATACATCAGTTGGAAGGGTGACTTCTTCGTTGTTTCCTGAGTGGTAGCCCGATGTGTTAGTAAAATCAGTGGAAGCTCCGTTTCCCAGTTCCCGCCCTTCGAGGCCAGCCACTCCTTCAGTGTACGGTTGTTTCTCTCCGTTAGGCCATTCGTTTGTGGATGGTATGGGGTCGTTCTGATCCTCTTGATGCCCAGCTGTTGCAAACGGGAAGTAAACTCTTCACTCTCGAAACAGGGACCTTGGTCTGTCAGTATTGTCTTCGGTACGCCGTGGTCTGCAACAATGTGTCTAACTACTGCATCTGTCACGGTTCTTGCACGTTGGTCTGGGATTGCTACGGCGTCTACCCATCGTGTCGCGTGTTCCGTCATCACCAAGAGGTACTGATTACCATTGGATGTCTGAGGAAATGGACCCATGACATCTACGGACCACAAGTCACCTATCGCGGTAACTGGAATCGACTGAAGTGGTGGTCGTATACACCGGTCACCTTTCATCAGCTGGCACCGTGGACATCCAAGTACGTATCTTGCTACGTCTTCTCTCATACCTGGCCAGTACATACTTTGTCTTAGGAGGTCGGTCGTTCTGGCCACGCCTGTATGCGCTAGCTGGTGACATTCTTCTATCATGTCGTGGCGCGACGATTGAGGTATGACAGCCAGCTTCCGTCGTTCTCTCGCCAGGTCAGAGTCCCGTAGGCATTCACTCTGAGTCGATCCCTCTGTCTGAGTAGTGTGGTTAGCTCCTTACTCGCCGTAGTTTGATCCACTTCTATTCCGTTGGTGATCACCTGTATTACTGTATTCAGCGTATCGTCCAACCTCTGCCTACGTGCAAGTCTTAGTGGGTCTTGTTCTACTGCATGCACTCCGTAAGCGACCTCGGGCAACTCAGACTCATCTTCTGGTCTCGATAACAAATCTGCCAAGACATTTTCACTTCCAGGAACGTGTGAGATCGTAAAATCGTACTCCTGAAGACGCAACATCCACCGTGACAACTTCCCCCGTGGGTCTCTCGCTGTCTTCAAAAATTGTAGCGGCTTATGATCAGTTTCGATGTGGAACCGCCGGCCGAGTAAATAAGGTCTCCATTTGTCGACTGCCCATACCATTGCTAAACATTCTTTCTCTATCGTTGAATACTTTCTCTCTGTGAGGGTCAAAACCCTACTGGCATACTCAACGATTCCCTCGTCCTGTCTTAGGACCGCACCTATAGCGTAGTCACTGGCATCTGTGCACACTGTGAACTGTCTTCCTGGCACAGGTAGTTTTAGCGTCATTTGTTGGTGGTCGAGCAGCTGTTTAATTCTGTCGAATGTCCTCTGCGATTCTTCCGACCAAACAAACTTTGGCTCACCTAGTAGCCTGTATAGAGGGGCTGCTATCTCATTGAAGTTCTTCACGAAGCGACTATAAAACGCTGCTCTACCCAAGAATTGTCTCAGTTTTCTCTTTGAATTCGGGGCTGGAATCGTTTTAATCGTCAAAATTTTCTCCGGCAGTGGTTTAATCTCACCATTTCCCACTTTATGTCCCAACAGAGTAACATTCTTTTTGGCTATCTGAGACTTGGTTTTGTTGACGCGTAGTCCAAACTCTTCGATGCGTCGCAGCACGGCTTCTACATGGTTGACGTGATCGTTTTCGTTTTGACTGTATATGACGAGATCATCACCATAAACCTCCACGTTTTTCAAGTTCTAAGTAATAGCTTCATCAGTCGTCTGAACGTAAACGGTGCACCTGCTAGTCCAAACGGCATGCGTTTAAATCGATATTGTGTCTGACCCACGATGAAAGCCGTCTTATCTCTATCACTTGTTTTATCGGTATCTGCCAGTATCCTGAGCGAAGATCGAGAACCGAAAACACATTCGCACCTTGTAGGCGATCTAAAGTTTCTACCACTGTTGGCATGGCACACGGTCTTAACTCTGTCATACTGTTTAACTGTCGAAAATCAACACAGAATCTATACTTCCCATTCGCTTTTTTTACTAACAGCACTGGAGAGTTGTACGGGCTATCAGCTTCCTCAATAATATCATCTTTTAACATCTCTTGCACTTGTCGCTCCACTTCGCCTTCCAGATGACATGGAACTCTTCGCGTTAAAAATGACCTTACTTTCGGATCACTTAACGGAATTTCATGATTCACCTTATCGCAATAACCGTATGGGTCGCCATCTCCAGTGAACAGATGATCGTATTTATTAATTAACTCTGTCACATTGTGTACCGTCGACAGCTTAATCGCTGCTATCTCGCTGGTCTCATACATGTTGATATGCCCGTATTTCGTGATCACCACGTTCGCTTGCGTGTCGATTATGCACCAATCTCACGCAGAAAATCCGCTCCTAATATCGTTCGCTGTAGTTCGGGTACAACAATGAAAGGAAACGTCACCTCGCAGCCACCAACAACGACCGTACAGTTCGATCTACCCGTGATACGCAACACATACCCGCCTACTGTTTGTACTGTCAATGAACACGGACTAACACTCTTACATAAATTCTTATCTATTAACGACACGGCCGCCCCTGTATCTATCAAACATACTACTTCTCGATCATTCACTCGCAACTTCGAATACAGAGCCCTTTCTCAATAGCCCCCACTAAATCTAGGTTCATACGAAAGAAAGAACAAGCATTATACCGTCTGAAATTTTTTCTTTTTCGCCTTTCTGGGCAGTATCTTCTCCAGTGTCCCGGCTTACCGCATTCAAAACACCGGTCTTTTCTATCAGCCAACTTTAACGCCGCCACTTCCCGCTGCAATGCTTCAATTTTCTGCTCATATTCGTTTGGTTTTGGTTGGTCTATAGCGGCTACCGTTGTGCTCAGCAGCTGTCTGGTCACCTTCGCCAGCTCACTAATATCCATCGGCTGCGTTGCGTTAACCAGTTGTAATCGCTGAGAAATGTGGTCTGGGACACTCTCGATGAATTGGGAAGACAGTAACTGCGCTTCTGATTCTTCATCTAAAGTGGGAAGCGCGCGTCGAAGTAGATTAGTCAGTTTCACCGCCAACACTAGCGGGTCTCCATCAGGTCCAAGCTTCATTGACCGGAACTGCTGCATTGCTAGCTGTCTGTCTGTTTCGCTGTCAAACTCGGACACTAGTCGTTCAACCAATTTCTTCCAAGACGCTGTGCCATTTGACCTGTCTACGCTGTCATATGCAGCCTTCGCTCGGCCTCTCAACAGCGTCCCCAGGACAACTGCCTTCGCCGCCTGCTCCTTGACACCCACCAGCTCAGCAACGGCCTCGAAGTCACGTAAGAAGCTCCGTATGTCTCCTTCTTCAAACGCAGCTGGCCACGGGATCTTCATTTTTTGGAGGCAGCGACACCAAATGTAACAACAGAAGACAAGGGCTGGCAACAGATCGTTTTATTACGAAAATCAACACGTATTTATATATATTATATGTACATTAATAAGGCTTATGCAAGCAGAAAAAGGCAGTCTTCTGATTGGTTGTTTCTCGGAAGTTAAGCAGACAAACACAGTCTTATGATTGGTTGTTTTCGATATTTCTCGGAAAGTAGAGCCATCTATCTGCGAATCATATTTGTCCACATTTAAGTTTGCTGTGATTGGTTGTTGAAACAGCCTTGTTCATATTTTCTCACGGCCCATATTAGTGACCTAGACATTAACGTAGATTAGTGTCAACCAATCGGCTAGCAGTCTGCTCTCACCACAAGGTGATCGCTTGGTAATATTTATCGTGCAGACTCCCGGAAAAATTTTTCGAACCATACATGTACCACCCATGTTAATAATGCTTTTCTGAAACCTTTCCAGACTTATGGAGAAATATATATGTGCTGTGTACTCATACAGAAACTACTGAGGGTAACAGAGGACTACTCATCCGAATTGCCTGTACATCTGGAATTCAATTTTTGTTTAATAAACACCTTTTCAGTTAATCCGTGTTCCTTATGTTGTGATACGATTGTGTTCCAGTAAGATTAGTAAGACGTGCTAAGGTATGAATCGAGGGTAAATAAGTAGGAATAAATGCAGCGTCTAGGAAACTTTGGTTTACGCGATTAGATGAACAGTTAGCAATTCACCGTGTTCTGTGGCTGCGAACCGTATGCATTTTGTTTTACATTATTACAATAACCGTAGTTGCACTGAGTTATAAGTCAAACAGTATAGACACAGTCTATCCTCATAGTACATTGCGACACGTCGAAATCACAAGCACACTATCTCAGGTGAAATTATTTCTACTCTGTAACTATGAATCGCGAATCAGTTTATGTGTTCTCCTAAAACGATAGATAACTCGAAAGGGCTTTTTAATCGCAATACCTTCCCTGAGATTTGGATATATTTACTTTATTTAACTACAACATAATCGTTTCACCAATAGGCTTCTCCGAATATCTACCTTTACTTAGTGTTTCAAAGACAGCCTCATATACTCTGTACCTCACAACTTCCTCAAAGGTTGATATTCAGTCTTCTCAAGTACAATATGCAGACGAATGAGGAGGATTAGATTTATTAATGAAATGACATGTAATACAAAATAAATGACGCTGGAAATCTTCTTCAACACCCAACTCCATGAAATTCCCAAAATTAGGTATTGCCCGAAAAAGAAACACTAAGTAATCTTAAGGTGTGGACATTTTTACCACTAAAAATAAAAATCTAAGCGATAGAAAATACTAAATAATGCGTCAAATTGTGTATTTTTACGTCTGTCAATATTTTTCAAGCAGACAAACTGGGCACTGAATCTGCCTGTGAACAGCAAATCTGCGCAGTATTAGAAGTAAATAACATGTAATAATAATTTAATAATAATAATTTATTTTCATATAAACATAAATTTACATGAAAATGCATGC